TCATCATCATCATCATCATCATCATCATCATCATCATCAACAGGAGAATCTTTTACTTACATCAGCAGCATGTTGCAAGTTTGCAGAAAGAATTTCCTCTTGGAAGTCTTCATTCTGTTCCTGGCATCTTTTATGAAAATACTTATAAATATATATTGATTGACAGAAGATGCATCATGAGTCAGTCAAAGAAGTCTATATATTGCCTAAAGCTAAAAGATGCTGCTTCACCAGCATTACCACAGAGTTGTAGAAATTACAATTATCCAAAGTGATAACTCCAGGCCTTTCTAGGAATTGGAATTCCTTGAACCATGTGCGTGAGATGGGCAGCTATATAAATTTATTATATTATATATGAATAAATAGACAAAGAAGTCCATTGCTATTACAAGAATCATATGGTGTACTTCTTGCTAGATTGTACCATTGCAGCCTGGAGATGGGAAACCATGATCTTGAATATTTCCCCCAGTTTTTGGTTAAATCTATCAGTATAAAACTAACACATCAGATGGAAGAGTTGACTAATTTATTGATGTTATTATGTGCAGGAACACTTGTGTTTGCAATCCCAGTTGATACTGAATTATAAACATTGATTTTGCTGACTGAATAGCCTTCTTGTTTCCTGCAAGTGTGAGTGAGCATTGAAATCTGTCATTTGAAATGTTAGTAAACAGTTACACCATGTGGTTTTATTCCTAAGCATGATTATAAAGGCATCCTGTTTAAATGTGTGCTTAGCTATGAGGACAAAAATAATAAGGCAGAACTGTGGATCATAGCAGAATAAAGGCACTACTGAATCTGCCTCACAGTTCAAAGAAAAATGAAAAGCTGGAAATGAAAAACAATACTGTACAGGTTAAAAGTACTTTCAGCTTTTGCTACTTCCATTTCAAAAATGAATGTTATTATTTTAATAGCCATTTGATTAGAAGGATTTTTTTTAGGGGGGGACCTCATATGGATCAAGTGAGAAAAATAGTTTAAAGACATTCTTCTTTGGCAGAGACAAAAATGGAAACAAGGACAGTAAAAAAGTACATTTCGCTTAATTGTGCTTGAAAATAGAAAGTTGAAGAAACCAAGAATGTGGATAATACAGTTAAGAGATTATAGATGAAATATAGTTCAGATAGGATGTGTGTCAGATTAATTGAAAAGATTTAATTAATTCCCTTAGTTTTGTCATGAGCTTAGGTGCTCCTACTTAGGTATTGGGGTTTTAGTTGTGTATATATGTAGAAATGGCCATACCTACAGTACAGCAATCTTAGTAAAACCTTTGCATATAGTGTAAAATTGATATGTATAAGTTGTAGATCTGAGGACCTCTCCAGCCCTAGGTTGTGGGCTGATCAACCTGATGTTATACTAACAGAATGGGATGTGCTAACACCTATTGTGAGTATGCTTATTTCATCAACGTTGTTTAGCTTAGGCAGCAAATCTTCTTCTAAGATATTTTTTGTCTCATCAAAGTCATTGAAAATTAAGCACTTCACTTTCCACCGATTGGTATATCCTTCATAAACCTTAGAAAATAGGTATGAAATTGTATCTTTGTGCAGAACCTTAAGAGAGTGGGAGTTTTTAAAAGCGAGGCAAATGTTGTCAAGCTTTCCAGCAGTAGCCTGAGGTATATTTTAGGAAGATGTTTAAACTCTTCTTCCAATAGCATTTATAATGGAAGTTACACAGCTAGTATCAAATGAATTTCATTCAAATAATGAGTCCACCTTTCTTCTAAGATCAGAAAACATGAATGAATCCCCAACCTGCCCATAATATCCATACTTCGTAATAGAAAGAAAAGGAATCACAGGATCAACAATTCAAAATAAAAACAGGGAGGCAGAAGAGATCACGGTCAGAACCAAAAAGTTATCGTTACATATCATTCAAAGTAGCTGAGATTTTTCCTTTCTTCCCACAATCCAACAGTCTTGGCATGGTTACAACTATTGATATATCTACAGAGGATACTGTTAATTTACTTTTAATGATGATGCCTATGCACAACTACCATTAAAGATATTCTGATATTGTTGCATCAAATTTTATGTTATCTAGGCCTAGCAACCTCATAGAGATTTCTCATGTACTATAATATTCAGCTTGATTATTGCAGAAACCCTAAGCCATCTTCCCCAACTTGGTACCCTTTAGATTTGTTGAGGAGTACCCAGATACCCCAGGCAACATGCTGGAAGGTGGCTAGGAAATCTGAGAGATAAAATCCCACCACAGCAGGAATGTGTCCAGTTGGAGAAGTTTGTCTTAAGATGACTCAGTTACAGCTTCTTCAGAGTGTCTGATGAGCAATAAATTGAAATACTTCAAAAATGCAAACATTGGGGCAGAAATCATGTCTTGTCTTAACATGTTCCACATGTTTCCAGCCAGGCATAAATTTAAATATCAAGGGATTGACATGGCAAGATACTAATGTTGCTTCCCTGGGCCATGACATTATACAATTTTTCCATTCTTATTAGTGATCTGATATTATTATGGTTGGTCACACAGTCAGCCAGATGTTCAGACCGGATTTGGCATTTTTATCCACCTATTGAGTCCTTCCCAAGGATGTGGGGTAGGCAGATATTGTTGTTTGATGGTGTTAATGTATTATTAATATATCATTATTAATATATTAATAACATATTAGTGTATAATATTATTATACAATATTATATAATAATATATTTATTTATTCAATGTATATATTATAGTTGGTCACACAGTCAGACAGATATTTAGACTGGATTTGGCATTTTTATCCACATATTCTCAAGGACCTGGGATAGGCAGATGTTGTGGTTTGATGGTTTGATGGTGTTAAAGGTGTCATTGCAGGATATAAGCTGTTCCAAGCTTTTGCAATTGACTGATGGTGACTTTGCCAATGCCGATGGTGTTCAAGTGGTGCTCCAGATGTTTTGGGATTGCTCCCAAGGTGCCTATAACTATTGGTACTATCTTTGTTTTCTTTTGCACAGTCGTTCTATTTGCAGGTCTTTATATTTTGTGATTTTCTCCAGTTCTTTCTCTTCTATTCTGCTGTCTCTAGGTATTGTAATGTCCACTATCCAGACTATTTTGCCTTTCTTATCAATAGTTGTTAAGTCTGTGGTGTTGTGTGGCAGGTGCTTGTCTGTTTGAATTCTAAAGTCCCTGAGCACTTTAGCTTCTTCATTTTCTAATACTTTGTCTATTTTGGATCCCACCAGTTCTTGCTTGCAGGCAGATGGCATTTCTTGCAGATATTCCAATGCACCATTGTTGCTACTTTCTCATGCCATTGTTTGTAGTCAGTCTGTGCAACCTTCTTGCAGCAACTAACTAGGTGATCCATTGTTTCTTCAGCTTCTTTGCAGAGGCCGCATTTGCTGTCTGTTGCTGTCTTCTCAACTCTGGCTTTGTACTATTATTATTGTTGTTGTTATTATTATTCCACCTTTTATATATCAGAAGGTGGTGAACATACCCCATACTCCTGCTTCCTATTTTTCCCTGCAACAACCACCCTGTGAGGTGAGTTGGGCTGAGAGAGAGTGACTGGCCCAAAGTCACCCAGCTGGCTTTCATGCCTAGGAGAGGCCTAGATCTCACAGTGTCTTGGTTTCTAGGCCAGCAACTTAACCCCTACATCAAACTGGCTCTTTAATTTTAGAAAGTTAGACGATACTTTAAGACAATCTTTTCATTGAATGTTTGAACAGTAAACAGCTGATTATCAGTGTATGCATAAAATTATTTTTAAACCTGTATACTAACTGTTCTTAGTAGCAAAGTGAGCTTCTCTTTAAAAAAAGATAGGCACGGATAAAACTGTAACTGATTTCTCTAACAAGCTAAGACCTTAATAGTGTGTTCAGTCAAACAACAACAGTGTAATAGTTGCCTTATATGGTGAAACAGTATCTTCTTGTAATAAACACCAACTGGCAAGTGATGTGATATTTATTGGCAGTCATACCAACAACAACTGAGACTGCATAAGAAGGACAAAGAATACATTCTTATTTATTGTTAGTAGTCAGCTTAAGGGGAAAATATACCAGAAAAGTGTTGTGAGTTCTTTCTCTTGTATTCTTCTTCTTGTTCCCCTTAATTTAAATCTGCCATCTCAATATCTAAGTTAATCTTGCCCCAGTTTTAAAGATAAGTAATACCTGTGGTGAATACAGCAAAGAGTGATCTTTTTAAATAGCAAGATAAGAACTGAATGACACCCAAGTTGCTTGACAGCAGTTCCTAGCATTCTTTACTATTTCTACTAGTTCTGTCATATTTAGGGGTGGGAGGGAGAGATTATATATTTATATAATCCTAATTTAATTTGATGGGACATAGCCTGCTTGGGCATTATGCTTTTGTCCCAAAGGTTTTAGTGACATTTCTTGGTTGGGTGCAGCATTCTGGCCCTGTAGTGAGGGGTGATGGTGAATGTCCTTTCTCTCATTTCGCCAGTGGGCACTCCAGCCCCCTGGCTTTCCAGAATTAAAATCCAAGGACAGACCCCATGAATGAATTTCTTCTGTGGGACTTTTTCAGATCAAAAACCACAGGCAATCAGGAGACTGTTGAACACTAGATGAACACACAAACACACAAATCAGTTACAACAGCAGCTTCCACTACCTCAGAATAAAAAAAAAAGCTTTAAAATGTCATCAGAATAAATTCAAAAGCTCTACTTAGAATGAGGTTCAGTAAACAGAAGTCTGATATACAAAGAAAAAAAACGGGAGAGCAGGCTGACAGATTTTGGAACAATATTAATTTGTAGTAACACAGACTTAGTCCAGAAGAACTTGTCAGAAAATTTTGCTTCCTTGCAGATGACCAAGT